TCAACAGTTACAGTTATCACTCATAGCAACCGTTTTTGACCTTTCTGCTCTCTTCTTTTAGCTTACCAAAAGTTTTCATATTTGAATTAGGGTTCAATGTAACATAGGGGCCTGCTGATTGAAATGTTATCACTTTGTACCCCTTGTCTGGCATTGGTAGGGGTATTTTGAAGAATGCCGAACAGCTGCTGGACATCAAAATGACTCTGGTGTTTAATGGGGCCAGGGTTAGAAAAACTGTGTGAAACAAGTTCCAGTTAGGGTCATTATACAGGGTGAACTGATCTGGTATGTATGACTCAAAAGCAGTTTCCTAACCCTAATCACTAAACTTCACAGTCATACAGCATTCTGCAAACTACCCCTGCTGGTCTAGAATTGAGCTTTGCCAGTGAGTTGTTTCCTTGGACAAGAAACTTGCCCTCCCTTTGATCTCTTCAGCCAAATGTATAAATGGGCACTGACGACAAGACAAGACAAGACAATGCTTTATTTGGAGTCTTATACAGTCCTATGTACATCGACTTTATCCAAATAATTTAAAATCATAACACAAATTGCACACTAGTGGAACTATACTGGTACCATCTGTCTATTCTATTTCATCAATGCCTAGACGTAACAGATTTTATCCTTCAGATTTTTGTCATATCAATACGAGGGCGTTTCATCACTGATAAAAACTTCCCTCTTCTAGCGAGTTTTTTTAACGCCTTGAAGTGTTGTCAGTCAATTAGATCGTTAATATAAGGGTGATCGGCAGATGGCACCTTTTATCTCCAGTTAAAATCTTCCCACAAAATTTGTTATCGTAAACGCCAAATCTCATGCGAGCACGTAGCTTTTTGGAGAGGTAGTTCACGAAAAGAAATAAACTCTGACCCGTTATATGAATATGCTGAGTGCATGGTGAGGAGGAAGTCCTCGTTTAGTAGTGTTAATTTTAAACAGCACTAGGTTACCATGGCAACTAGATTCAGAGGTTTGGAGATGTTGAGATCATTAAGAAAAGATTAAAAATCATTGCACCTACACCACGACACACAGGCTAACCACCAACTATTTGCGCAGCAACACGAAACACGCAAGTTTTTTAGTCTCCACGTACAATTCCGTTCTTCGGGTGTCGTTTCAAGCTTTTCGTGAAATAATGGCCCAGCGCAAACGGATAGACACAACGTTGTTTCACTTACAAACTTGGCAAGTGTTGGATTAGAGCGAGAAAATTACTGATGACTTATAAACACGATAAGCGTCATTCATTTGTTACGAATTATGCTTGAATCACGCTGAAGCCATGTACCTAAAAGACATTTTCCCTGCCGCCGCTATATGGAAAAACGAGAGGGCCCTGGGGACGAGTTTGCGGCAACGGTAAGCGCTTGATCTAAACGAGTCGATAGGGAGCAAAGCTAATTGTTTAAGAAAAAACGAAAGGCAAGGCTTGAAACATTTTTACAGACCCAAAGTGTGGGGTGTCAACCGCTCGGCCACCACACCTTCAACTGGAAAAGAACTATGGCAATTCTAAGAAAAACTCTTCAGATCAACGTCAAAAAATTCTTAACAAGAGGGGATGGACTTAAGTTCTGCAAGGACTCCAAACCAATTGCGGCCGTCTAATGAACTCTCGAAAAATCAAGACTTTTAAAGAGAGGGCCCTCTTAACACATTTTTCTCAAGTAGAGCCTAGCTAAGCGTTTTAGCGGCAGTGAAAAAAAAACGAAATTAACAACTTGAAAGTGTAATATAAATAAGAGTTAATTAATATTTTATTTTCCTTTCTATTCACAAATATCAAATGTTCGGTAATAAATCATTTTTCATTATCAAACACGATGAACGCGTCAAGAATGGTTTCTAAATACAATGTAAAGCTCTTAAATCTAAAAATTTTTGACCGCTCCTTGACAAAAGACTAAGTTTTGGGAAAAATGGTAAAACTTGATCATTAAATAATTGGTTCAGTTTCTGTCGTTGCAATGCCGACAAATGCTTGTGTGTAGATCCACTGATCTATTAGCACTTGTATGTAACAAAATAATAACAAAGATTTGTCAACTTTTTAAAATTTTATGCCACGGACAGAATTAAACCAATCACGTAAAATGTTTGGGCGAATAATATAAACTGTCCATAATGTATCTTTTGAAGTGATAATTGTGGTTAAAAACTCATTATCAAAAAACCAAGTGCTTGAAATAGCTAGGAAGAAGGGCAGCCGACATTATGGCTACAGCCAAATCAAAACCAGTGCCAAGAAAGGATAAAATAAGTGTTTGGACGTTACCAGAAGGGTCACAGCCTGCTGTTCGCGTTCAGGTCGACGGAGGAAGGATTTTAGCCGAAGATCTTCTCCAAATAGTCGGTAGAACTCTTGAAATTTGCGCGAGTAGTCTGCAGTTGTTTGGACTCTTTCGCCGGATCGAAAACCCTACGAAAAAATATGGAAACAACGAAATGATTTATCTTCCCTGTCGCTACGTAATTTCAATTCAAAAGTGGTCTTTTGATATTGCAAGAGAACAAAAATTGCTGAAAACGGATGCTGGAGCAATGCGCCTGATTTGTATACAGTGCATCGAGGATATTCGATCCGGCAGACTCAAGCCCAAACCTGAACACATTCCACTCATGGAAGAATACAGAAACCCGGCCTTTCCATGTGATAAGCAGTACGTGGAGCTTTGTCAGAAGATGTTTGGTTATGGCTATGTTGTCCTTAATAACTGCACCGTTCAAAACGATTTGAAGGTGAAAGACGTACGTCTCAAAGAAGGAATGAAAGTGGATTTGATCGCCAACCGCCGAGGGTTAATGATTAAATCGCGTAAGTAAGACAATAATACCTTTCTGGTCCTATTTTTGAGCTTAGCTGCATCGTAAGAGGACAATCGGACAACAAATAGCTTTCCACCGACATTGCTATAAGACGGCTATATTTACCTCGGATCCGAAAAGGTGCGACCAGTCTATGTTATTAGGCAAACGCTGGAGAGAGGTGGGATTTAATAACCTTTGTTTATATTTTAAGAAAGGCACCCGCAGAAAAGCACGCAGAAAACGAGAAAAAAAAAAGAGTGTTACTTACTGGTAGTTTCAGCAATTAATTAGTAAACTACATTTCCCGTATTAGATTAATATAGTCTAAATTCGATAAATTTGCTCGCATTCTCACCCACCAAAACGAGATTGCGAGCTTCGACGTCGAGTCGAAATAACTCGAAACGTAACTATAACTCGTAAGTCTAACTCGAACTTTACCTTGAAGTCCAACCCGAACTCGGATTCCTTGTCAATGGAACTTGGACTCCTGATTCTAATCGTTAGTGGGATTCTGGATTCCTAGAGCTGGAGCTCAGGATTCGGGATTCCATAAAAAAAATTCCCCGGGTTTCAAAATTTCCGAATTCCGAGATCCGGATTTCCTTAAAGGGGACGACAGATTGTGGGGACGGCGCAAACAGCCTTTTTCCCGCTCTCTGACTTCGCGCCGGTCACCGGTCGTTTCGATACAAGTTTATCCATTTGAGGTGTAAATAGTTCCACGTATTTGGCTTAAAGAACGAAGACATTCACCCAAAATGTTTTTCTTGTTCACTCACAAACTATACTTGAAGTGAACAAAATGTTTGTGCAATTTCCCTGCTTGAGTTTATATCGAAACGACTTGTATCGAAAAGACTTCAAATCGAAACGACCGGTTTCCATTCGCGCCACAACATTATCTAAACTCCTGGAACAGGTTTGGTTACTTCCCAGTATCAATTATCCTTTCCCCGTTCAACAGAAAAAACAGTGTTTTTTGCTCCATGGCGAAAGATTCGTCGCTGGTCACAAGTTCAAGGCGACAGCATTCACTTCGAGATTTACTTCACCGAGGAGCTTCGTTTCGAGTGGGTGGAAGTGGAGACTGAACAAGTGGCCTACCTCATGTCAGTCATCGCCGAGTTTGTTTACCTTATGAAGAAAGACTACGATGAACCGGAGGTCAAGAGACTCAACTGGCTCAAAGGAGGCGAAAAGAAGAGGTTAACGTGGAAACTAATCAAGAATGAGCTGTTTTCCACAGAAAGCAAAGATGAAGAAGACGAGGAAAAGCCGTGCCAAGGTTTTGATAATCTCGAAGATGAGGCTTCTACTGATGAAGAAGAGTCAAGTGATGAGGAAGAAGGGGCGAAAGCGTTGTCGCCTTCAAGACGAGGCTCTCAATACCTTTTTGGTTGAATAGCTTAATCATGGTTAAAGGGGCTCTGTCACGGCAGTCCACTTCATTTTGTTTAATTTTGCCAATTACTAGCCCTCAATCGCTATGGAACTTAAAGTAAGTAAATAAATTACATGGAAATGACAAAATCAGAGATTGGAGACAAACAAATATGTCTCCTGCGCATTATTTTTGAAATTGTAAACAGAAGAGATCAACTTTGAAAAACTGTTAGGCTGAACAGTTTTCAAAAATCCTAATTTCAATCCGTTTCAGTCTTCTTCAGTTTTGCCCATCCGTGGCATCTGTTGTATCTGTGGTGTTATTTTAACCTTCCTTTAATGTTTTAAGCGGTTATTTTTACGTTTCCCTTAATTTAACGGGCATTTTGTAATTACCTAATTAGGCTTAATTTCGTGACACTGCTCCTTTAACGACTGCCTCTTCTCTCATAACGAGGGCTTTAGCCTTTATTTTAAACCGATTTTTTTTGCCTCTGATTTAAAACGAGGTCTATTATTTGGCTGGGGTTTGGCTATTTAAAGTTGAGAGCCTTTGGCATATGAATTAAGAAACGAGCTCCTTCTGGGTTGAATTTTGCCTCTACTTCAAAACCAGAGCTATTTACGAGCTGTCTTTTGCCTTTATTTACTAAAGCTACCACACTATACTATGAGCCACAGTGGAAACACAAAGCTTCAGGGGGTCTGTCGGTGAAAAAACTTAGGCTTTTCTAATCTCCGCAGCTCTGTTGTAAGTCAAAGATTCAGCAAAACAATATAATAAACTTCGCATTTATTATTATTAGTATTATTATCATTATTTTGAATAAAACAACTCATAACTTAACAAGAATGACATAACATTAGCCAACGAATAGCGCGGTCCAACTTTTGAACAAATGGGAATATCTTGTAGGAGGAATCCGGCTATATTAAAGGAGTTTAGATTGGATTAGATTGTTTAGCCAAAAGTTTTTTGAATTGAATCGGAAGGGTACCATAAACCTTTGGCAGCTAAAATCCGCTAAACTACTAATACTTTTGTACATACAAAGAAGTGTTTACATTATTTAAGAATAAATGAATGAAAATTAACTACAACGTTCAATCTTGTTTCAATAGACCTCTTTAGCTTATATGTTTTGTTTTGCCAATATGTGATAATACTCTAGAGAATTGTTTCTTTCAAATTTCGTCTTATTCAGTGCATATCTATGCATAACTTATGAAAAGACAAATGGGCAAGTTCCCCTGGGACCTCTATTGCGCAAACAAAACTTACAAGCCAAAGAGGTCTACATTAGCACAGGCTTGCATGTACCAAAAGATGGCCATTCATTAAACACGTTTAAAAATCCCTCAAGTTCTCTCACTTTTCTAAAAAGAGTATGGCAAAAGACTAGTCAATGTACATAGTATTTAATTTAAAAGTTCAATTGAAGTGTTAATGGACAAAGAATCTCTCCACATGGTTTCTGAAAGGAACTTGCTAGCACAAGAAAGGAGAAATTCAACATTGAACTTAAAGGTGAAAGGGTTGTTTTACTTTACCAATCAGCGCCTTCTTGAACTTGCCAGTGCAGGTTTTTTCGGTGCAGCCTTATTTGCGGGTTTTTTTCTGCTAACAGAAGAGAAGTTTTTTGCAAACCAGTCTGAGATGTCTGGTAAATCCTTGGACTGATTGAACATGTTCATTGATGACTGCATTTCCTACGAGAAAAAGGATTATAAGAAAATTTGTAAGAGGCTTTAATAGGAATTATTGTATAATTTCTATTTTCTTTAACCGGTATTGAGGCTAGGCGGGCTGCAGTACCAGTATTCAGTGTACCTGTTAGTATAGATAATAGTAGGTTATGTAGTGATATCTGGCATAAATACCACAAGTGATATTTCAAAACTGATTTACGTAATTTCATGAGCCATTGGGCGAGTGAAATGCGAGACAATTTTGAAATATCACAAGTGGTATTTATGCCAAATATCACAAACAAATCATGCTATTATTTGTCTATACTACTACCCACAAGGTTTGTAATTTTCACATGTAGGTATTATTTCAAATTAAGCTGAAATACCACTGCTCTAAGCCAATCAAATTGCAGAAATTTCTCATGTTGTGGTATAACTATTCTAATACTGGCACTGTTTATGCAAAGCATCTTTTCCTGCTCACACACCCTGGTGGAAATCAGGTGCAATCCTGTGTAGGATTCTATCAGGATTGTCTTCTTGGTTCCGACATTTGTTAGGGAAGTATAAAGTCAGTAAAAAAAATAAGGTCAGTTTGTTATCACTGCTATTAATAGTATTAAGATGGAATCCATCAGGAAATTGAGTAATTTTAATTTTTCAGTGGACAAAAACCTTGTACCAGAATAATTTAAACAATATTGCATTCTCTCAAGGGCCATACATGTAATTAGTTATCTGTAATAACACTAAAAGAAAATTTCTTATGGGAGACAAATTTAACAAAATGACATCTTACACATGAAATTTTCAGACTTTTACCTGTGTTTTCACATTAAGAAATAGTCTTTGGTGTTATTGCAGATAATAAATTATAACTATAGCCCTTGAAAAATGTAAAAAAAGAACTTACGTGGTATTGTTTAAATTATTCTGGTACAAGGTTTTTGTCAACTGAAAGACAAAATTACTCAATTTCCAGATGGATGCCATCTTAATTCAGTACATTTGATTTCTGTACCTTTTGAGTCTCTGGATCTTGACTATTTATAAGTTTAGGTAGAACTAACAGCAGAAGTAGTGGCAACACCATCATCAGGACCTGAAATCAACAGTTACAGTTATCACTCATAGCAAGAGTTTTTGACCTTTCTGTTCTCTTCTTTAGCTTACCAAAAGTTTTCATATTTGAATTAGTGTTCAATGTAATATAGGGGCCTGCTGACTGAAATGTTATCACTTTGTACGACTTGTCTAGCATTGGTAGGTGTATTTTGCAGAATGCTAAACGGCTGCTGGACATCAAAATGACTCTGATGTTTAATTGTGATTAGGGTAACAAAAACTGTGTGTATAAAGTTCCAGTTAGGGTCAGTATACAGGGTGAACTGATCTGGCATGTATGACTCAAAAGCAGTTTCCTAACCCTAATCACTAAACTTCACAGTCATACAGCATTCAGCAAACTACCCCTGCTGGTCTAGAATTGAGCCTTGCCAGTGAGTTGTTTCCTTGGACAAGAAACTTGCACTCCCTTTGATCTCTTCAACCAAATGTATAAATGGGCCCTGACAACATACTGGTGGGGAGTTGGTGGGGTGGAAGGGTAACCCAGTGATGAATTAGCAGCACAAAGGAGAGAAGCAATACTTAAGCGCAATATGCAAGGGAAATAAGGATACATTGTGTAAACTATGGCCACTGTGGTACATGTGAAATTAATTTTAGCAATTGCTAAATTTCCTTAATTAAAGCCATTTTTGATACCCCCTTTGTCTGTATCAAAACTCTGCAGTAGCCACGACAGAGCTGGTCACAAAATTATACAGCACGCAGTTTACAGAGTTACCATCAAAAGTAGCAAGGACATGTATTCACTACTACTGCTTATGACCTACTTACCATGGGATTGAAAAGCATATCAGTAACTTTCCACTGTTCTCGTTTTTCAAAGAAGGGAGCTGGTTCTTTGGCTTTAAACTTAAGAGGGTACGGAAGAGTAACAACTGCTGAATTCTGAAGAAAGTTCACTTTTCTCGCTCTTATTTTTCCCTTTGCTCTACCACTGATGTCAACTCTAACAGGTTCGAACATGTTATTTGGTGACAAAACTTCTACTATGTAAGAACCAGCAGGGACATCGTTAACAGTGAAGCTGCCATCGGCTTTAAGAAACCCAATATAGTTTCCACCATCAACAATAACTCTGGTTTGAGAAATCCAGTCTGAAGAAAGAAAAAGGAGACAACTTTTTTCAACTGAAATTTAATCATCTAACTTGATTTTATAACCTTCTGGTGAGTTTCACAACTACAGGTACCATTCCTTAAACTTTTTGCAAGGGAGAAAGATGAGCAGGAAAACTTGAAAAATGATCAGCTGATTTGCATGAGATCATCCCAATTTTCTTAAATGTGACTATCATCCCAAAAACTTTTGAGGTGATCACATAATTGCCATATTATAGCCCATTTTACAGTAACAGGTGGAAACGTGGCTGGAGTTGAACTTTTAAGCAATAGAAAACGTTTTGCATGTTTGCATAGCCTGATATTAACACGAGAGGGGTTGGGAGAATTCGAGACAGTTATGCAAACCCGAGACGAAGTCGAGGGTTTGCATAACAGTCGAGAATTCTCCCAACGCCTCGAGTGTTTATATCAGGATATGCAAACACAGGAAAAAAGTTTTCTATTGCTTTTATAAAATAACTTTCTCGAGAGAAAACGCAAAACTCTTTGTATGGCACTGATTAAAAGAGAAATTCTTACCAGTCGCAAAGTCTTGTCCACGAAGTTTTGCACGCGCAATCAGTTCTTGTTTTGCAAAAAGATGTTTTCCAAAATACGGACTTTTCTCACTTAAAATGTCGTTTTGAGCGAAAAAAAATCGACATACCTTCTTTGTCACGATTTTCCAAGTTTCAGCCGACGAAGGAATGGATAAATAAAGTAAACTTGTCGAGTTTTGAAGTCGAAATCTTTTTCAAATTCGTGCTTGCGTGATTAGCGCGCGAAAACGAAAACATCTTGACGCCACAACCATGTTTACATACTCTCATGCAAACANACTTTTTTCAATTGAAATTTAATCGTCTAACTTGATTTTATAACCTTCTGGTGAGTTTTGCAACTACAGGTACCATTCCTTAAACTTTTTGCAAGGGAGAAAGATGAGCAGGAAAACTTGAAAAATGATCAGCTGATTTGCATGAGATCATCCCAATTTTCTTAAATGTGACTATCATCCCAAAAACTTTTGAGGTGATCACATATATTATAGCCCATTTTACAGTAACAGGTGGAAACGTGGCTGGAGTTGAACTTGTTTTGATACAACCCTTGTTGCTTTCTTATGTAAATCATGTCGTTGTTATGCTGCAGTGCTCGACTTTCAGAAAAAATCTTGGGGCCAGCTGGCCCCCAAGTTTTCATCTTTTGTCGCCCGAACAAGTATTCTGGTCGCCAAAAATTATATTTAAGAATTAATGGATTTAGTTTTGTGAAGGATAAACAGATTATCATTAGTGTACGTTTTCCCAAAGAAGAAAGTCGCCTATCTTGGGGGTCAGGTTTGCAACCAGGCGTGAAAATTTGGTCGCCACTGAGTAAAAGCTGGTCGCATTGGCGACCCCATGAGTCGCAACGTCGAGCCCTGTGCTGAATAGTATTTTTTAAAAATAATCTCCATAAGAAAAGGAAGGAGGTTTGTATCAAAACAAGATCAATCTCAGCCTCACGTTCACTCAAAGGCTAGGATACTAAGCCCACAACTGTAAAATGGTCTATTGCCTCAATTGCTAGCCTGCAAAGCAGGTGTATTTTGGAGCGCGATCCATGATTTGTTTTCGGGAATGATTTTATCCTGCCATCTTGGACGTTGATACTACCAGAGAGTTGGGACAAGTCAAAAACTGATTTTAAGGGAGAGGTTGGTGGGTTTAATAGTCTTTTCCCTGGCTTTTCAAGATGGCGGCCGCGATCAATGTACCTCCGAGTTTCCGTTAGAAACGCCTGCTCTGCAGGCTACTTAATTGCTAGAAGAGTTTTTCTTCACACAATTAGAACTTTGCAGAAGAATAATTTGCCAAAGATCACAGACTTTAGGCTTGTGCTATGGAAATAGTTAACAATTATTCGCTGAAGTGAAGGTGGCTAGACGCGCATGCTGTTTATAGCCCGGTCTTTAGATTGGAAGCTCCTAAATGACCATCGTATTGATATAAGCAAGAAAAATTCTTGCGTCACGCATCCCAGCCAATGAAAGTACAGGTGTAAAAGATAGAACATGGGATTCAAAGAATCAACTGTTCTGACTAACGCTAGCTGATTTAACATATTTCCAAATCAACAAAGTTTAAGACGTACCGGACGATTTAAAACCTTGAATTGTGATCTTGCCGTCGATTTTGTACCTTTCTGACGCCTCTTCCACGTTACTACCGCTGGTTCGCCGGGTGTTTGGCAGAATCAACAGTGAAAGATAAACTAATATACTGTAAAATTCTTTCATTTTCTTCGGTATGGCCGATCAAAGCAGAAAAATAGGAGAAGAAACCAACGTCAGAATGTACCGGCGTCATGTGCAAAATATGAAAGTGACTAGTCTCCAGTCCTTTCCCTAACTGAGTTGAGTAGTTCCCAGCTTTTAATTTGTGGCGCCTGGCATATTTGGTCTTTATTTTCACAAACTGCTGGATCTTTACCCGAAAGCCGTTCACAGCATAGCTGATCGGTGGAAAGAGACGGCCAAGGTGACTCCAAATGACCAGCAGAGTATTCATCTCAGTGAGAAATAGCCGTCCAATCGTGCACACGCTGTATCAAAGGGTTGACTCGTCAGTTAATTTTCGGACGTATGTTATGGATTCGTCCCTGCAGAAAGGTATTTTGTTTTTTTTCGGTAGAAAACCTTTAAGAATTCTTTTTTTTCCTTAATTCATCCTTAACTGTAGTACAGAACGAGCCACAAGCTTATACGTGACCAAGCTAACCCAGGAGTGACCGCCGGATTTACAGTATATCTCCTATTTCAGGCCCAAATAAAAAAAAACCGCTCAGTTTTACAAGGTTTCGTATTGTAACATTCGTCTTCCGGTTGTATCAAAGATGTATCTCTCACTTGCTCAATTACCATATCAGGTAGTGTCTGAATCTCTCATAAATAAGAAACCCACACGGATTCAAATTTTACAATACTCTAGACAAAAATTACATAAACAGACTACAATCTTACTTACTGTCCCCTCTGTCGGATGAGTCCCCTTGTGTACCCTGTGTTTAATGTGTCCCCTGTGTCCCCTGTGCTCCTTCCCATCCCATGTGTTCCCCTGTGTCTGTTGAGTCCCCTGCAGTTCTAATGTGTCTTCCTTCTATCCCCTGTGCCCCTGTTACACTGTGTTACCATGTGTGTGTTCCCCTGTGTTTCCCTGTGTTCCTGTCTGTTTCCCTGTGTTACTCTGAGTTACCCTGTGTTGCCCTGTGTTACTATATGTTACCCTGTGTTACCCTTTATCACACTGTGTTACCCTGTGTTACCCTTTGTTATCCTTTGTTACACTCTGTTACCCTTTGTTACTCTTTCTTAACCTTTGTTACAATTATTTTGTTCCCCTGTGTTACCCTTTGTTGCCCTTTGTTACCCTGTGTTACCTTTTGTTCCCGTTTGTTACCCTGTGTTACCCTTTTTTACCCTGTGTTACCCCTTGTTACCCTGTGTTATCCCTTGTTACCCTTTTTTATCCTTTGTTACCCTGTCTTACCCCTTGTTACCCTTTGTTACCCTTTGTTACCCCTTGTTACCCTTTGTTACCCTGTGTTACCCCTTGTTACCCTCTGTTACCCCTCGTTACCTTTTGTTACCCTTTGTTACCCTGTGTTAACCTTT